AGCTGTCTTACAGATCTGAGTCATATCAGCCATGGGAGAAAGGGTGTGAGTGTGGGCCCTTACAGCTAAAAGTGGTAAGGGTCTTCCAAAGTGGAGGTGGCTTCCCCCCACAGGCCCTCAGCTGATGCCAAGGAGGGACGGGGTAAGCCAGTTAGGTTTCAGAGATTGTCCTTTCTTTTGGCTTGTGAGACCAGTGCAGGTTGTACTTGTTCTTATCTGGGAAGTGGGCATGCCACCATCTGCCCTATGTGGTGGCATTGGGTAAGTATGCCAGCATGGTAGGTGCCACCAGAAAGGCCATAGGAGAGAAATGGGACTAATGTTCATGGAGCACCTGTTGTGCACCACCCGCTGGGCATGTCTCATTTCATCCAGTCCTGTGACAAGTCTGCGAGGTTGGTATTATTATATTCATTTTATTTGTGTTATTATACCCATTTTAGAGGCTCAGGCAGCAATGACTTAGCAAGGTTAAGTTGCTTCAATGCTGTAATTCCAACCTAAGATTTGGACTCAGGGCTGCTAGCCTTCATACTCTTCCCACTATGCCACACCGCCTCTATGAGGTTGCCTCTTTGAAGCTATTTCTCAAATGAGCCACTTTGGGAGGGAAGAAGCATCTTGTCCCTGGGTGTATTAAAGAAAATGCTGAGTGATGGTCTGTCAAAGGCATTATAGATGCTTAGTGTGAAGCAGGGCAGGGGAGATGGGCTGATATGACCTTCTAGGCCCTTTAGAAAAATTCTGTGGCTTTCTAAGAGAAGCAGAACTATTATTAAATAGTTGAGAGGAGCTAAAGCAGCCAGGCTAGGTAACTTCAAATACTTTGAGAGAAAGCAGGTCCCCAGAATAGCCTTTTGTAGCTGCCACATGGGGCCAGTAAAAGGCCATAAGGTCTTTCTCATGTCTTGATTTAGTGCCAGAAAAAACCCCGTGGGAAATGCTTCCATCTACCCAGGCTGGTCCCTGGGGCTATGTCACAAGACAGGCCTGAGCTTGACAGCTCTGATGTTCTCACATCCCAGCTCGAGGGCCATCTTTGCCTCTCAGCAGTCCTCAAGCCCAAAGGGCACCATGGTCCCAAGATCCTGCACATGGCTGCCCAAGCTAATTTGTGCTGACAAGAAGGAAGTGGGTCAGGGGATGCCACAGCCCACTGTGAGCCCTGTCCCACTGCTACCTCCATGCCGGTGGAGGGACTGCTCTAAATGGCAGCTGGAGCGAGCTTTCTACCCCTTGGGCAGGTGGACCTATTTGTCTCTACTTTTCTAAAGAAAAACCTGCTATCAAAGCTCCTAGGGATGAAGACAGGAGAAGGCTTCTAATGAGCAAATCTGAATCAGATCCACATCCTCCCTGGCTGCTGAGTCTACTGCTGCTCAGACTGCATACATTTTGAAAGCCCAATCCTTCGGGGTCTGGAAATTAGAGGCTGAGGAGACCTGGGAAGACGTGGGCTGGGGGAAGAGGAGGCTGGGGGAAGGGAGGAATATGATTGAGATTTTCAGGGGTAGAAGAATAGGTTATAAGGTGAGAGTCAGTACCTCCACCTTCTTGGAGGAGGTTGTAGTGGGGTTGCCTTACAGGATGTTTTGAGTTCTCCCTTGGACCCAGTGCCCTGGCTGCTGAGCAGGTTAAGGTAAGTGCCTTTACCATAGCAGTCAAAGTTGCAGCCCAGAAAAGACTTCCAGCCTGGGAAGGGAGATAAGAGCTTGGTGATTTAAGAGGCTAACTTTGAGCCCTTCTTGGATGTAGTCTCCTAATCTGTGAAATGACCCTCAGCAGGGAGCACTGCACTGAGTGGGAACCAGAAGGCTGACCAGTTTGTACACAATTTCCTTGAATCACACAACCCTTTTAAATAATTACTATACCTATTTTATGATGAGCAAACTGCAACTAAGAGACGTTAATAAACTTGTGCAAATCCACGTGGCTGGGACACTCAAGCCTGGCACTGACTGACCATCCACACTCTGAGGGAGAATATGGGAGCTCTTACTCGGTAGAAGTATGAAACTAGTCATAGGCAGTACTTGGTTTAGAGGGGCTTAGGTAAGGCCCTGCCCAAGGCAGAGGGATAACTGATGACCTTGGGGGACCTCTTCCAGCTTTAGCAAGCTTTGACTGACAGGACAGCTCTGGCTGAATGTTCTGTTGGCCACACTGTCCTCTTGTTAACATTAATGACTAAATTATTCTCTAAGTCGGTGCTCTGTGCTGCCCTTGACACTCAGCTCGTGACTTATTCTTGATGACTAGGCCCAGTTCTCCATCAAATTGTCACTTTCCTGAGTCCTCTCAGCCAGTGCACCCAGCTGGGTAGCAAGAAGGTGCCACAGTCTAGACGGCTGCCCAGGTCCTCAGCTCACCCCTCTCTCCTCCTGAGAAAAACTCCTCCCTACTTCCAGCCCAGAAGGAGAAAACAGAGAGAGAGACATCTCCAACTCTAAGGAAATGTTTCTCATGTGAAGCTGAGGGCTCTCCTTACAGAGATCAAGCTTCCCTCCTTTTCCCCTTAAGCCCCCAGTTTCCCCCTCTTGACTCGGGAGCCATCAGTACTAAGAAAAAGTTAAGGCAACTAGTTCATCCTTTTCCTCCCTTGCTGCAGCGCAGAGATTGCTACAAAATGTTGCATCAATCTCATTAATCTCCCTCCCTCCCAGTGGAAAGAGCTGCCTGGATTGCATTTCTGTACGTGGCCTGGGTGTAAAGCGGCTCTGGTGTTTCCCCTCCCCTTGCCCTGCAGGAGCTGTCCTTGGTTCTGAAATGTTCGTCATCCTCATGCTCTACCTCTGGTTTGCCATCGGCCTGGCCTGTGCCGGCTTCTGCTGCCACCAGCTGCTGTTGATCCTACGGGGGCAGACTCGCCACCAGGTGCGGAAGGGGGTGGCAGTGAGGGCCCGGCCCTGGCGCAAGAACTTACAGGAGGTCTTCGGGAAGAGGTGGCTGCTAGGTCTGCTGGTTCCCACACTCAATGTTGGAAGCGAGAGCTCCAAGCAGTGGGATAAGTAACAGACATACCCATCATTTCTCCCTCTCTCTCTGTCTCGACTCCTCCTGAACCTAAGACCACAGCACCCTTTTCTCCACCCATGACTCACTTTAGCCTCGTGCTTGTAGGGTCCTAACATCCACCCCTGCCCTTTAACCCATAGAGAAGAGAATGGGCTGGTAGATCAGGGATTGCTAGGCTCCTCCAGAGCCAGTCAGGTGGCTGCTAGCTGTCAGGAGGCCTCTGCTTTTGCTTCTTCTCCTTGAGATCCCTGTTTCCCTCCTCTGCCTGGCTCTTTCACTCTCCACCATGTCTCATGGCATCATGCTGTCTGCTGGAGCCCTTCCTCTCAGTCCCCATGTTGAGAGTGGGAAGTGGATTCTTGCTACTGGTCTAAGATTCCTGGGGACCTGTAGGTTGGCAGTTGTTTAAAATCACCACGTGTAAGACGCAGCCAGGTCAGCTCTGCCAACTGCCAGGGAAGTTGGGAAGGTTGGATGTGTGTCCACATCCCTTCTGTGGGATGGTGGGCAGTGGAGGGAAAGGGAACTCAGTAGCTTGTTGCCCACCTTCCCCACAATGTTCAAGCCTCTTTCTCTGAGAGACAGCAGCCAATGGCCTGGTATTTCCAGCTGCTGTTCTCTGTCCAGCCTGCCCCAGCTGGCCACCCCAGACAATTCAGGACCTGGTTCTATAACTCCTTTCCCTGGCACTCTTTCAGCCTTTCCCCATAGTCTCCAGCCTCCAGGTCTTTGCCAGATGCTGGGAAGACCATGAAGAAGGGAGAAGGAAAAGGGAGTTCACAATGAATGAGGGAGGCATGGGACTGTATGAACTATGGAAGCAGACATGAGAGAGGAGGGAGGGAGGGGGAGAGAGAGAGAGAGAGAGAGAGAGAGAGAGAGAGATGGGCGGGGTGGTAGGTCAGGAGCGGTGTTAGGAAATAGAGGAAGGATGCTTCGTGGGAGGAACAAATGGGCTCACCTATGCCTGTGTAAAGGACATCCCAGCCACTGAAGCTGTTCAGTGTTTGAATGGCTACCTGGGGAGGTAGTGAGTGCTGCACTGGAGACACTCCAGCAGGATATAGGCAGTCATCTTCCAGGCATGCTGTGGCAAGGATTTCTGCACAGTGTCATTCTAGGTGAGCTTAGAGATCCTGTCCCACTCTAAGATTTTGGTGTCCCTTTTGCAGTGTCTGGGCCCAGAAGCAAGATGTGCAGAGATGGTTGGGAGCTACTTGCTTTCTTGCAGAGTAGGTTGAGCACGGGCAGGGTCTGAAATGCATGATGCCAACTCTCAGGACCCAACCCAGCCACTGAGGAGAAATTTTCTAGAGTGACAGGACAGGCTGGATGGTTGAGGGGACTGGCATTTGAGGGCAGTGAGATGAAGCAGTGTCAGGTAAGGTGGAGGCAGTGGTGGGGAGAGAAAAGCCAGAAGGTCATGCTCTGAGGGGCAACATTGGTGGAGTTAAGCTGGGGAATGGAGATGACCCAACTTATAAAAGTGCAGTTGCCAGACCATCCCTGCTCATTGACTGGCTCTGAATGGGGGCACTGCTGCATTCTGGAACCCAGAGGGCCAGACCCCTGGGGCATATGATGGAATAGGGACAATACCATACCCCTTCCTGACTGGGTCTCAAAGCCAATATGGCATCCATGCAGGCAGCAGCACTGAATCCATGCCTTGCAATGTCCATCAGTTGGCCACAACAACCCCAACATTTGCTGCCCAGTACCCTGAGTTGTTGGGCAGAGCTGGGAGGACTTTGCTCAGGTCCTGCCTTCACGCCCCCTAGAGGGCTAATGTAGTAATGACTCCATCTGCTTATACTTCTCCCTTGTGTATTTTCATCCATCTATCCTACATATATTTATTAAGTACTGACTATGTTCCTAGCCTCTTCTAGGCACTGGCAATGCAGTGGAGAACACGATGACATGATCTCTGCCATCAGAGACATCTTGTCACTGCCACCTTTGCAATGATTCACACCCCCTGAAAAATGGTCACTCTGCCATCTTCGTGGTCAGCAGGGGAAGTCATTTGGAGAGGAAGGACATGGTAGAGAGGGATTGAGGGGGAGCTTAGGCTGCCTTGATGGAGGAATGATCCTCACCCCCAATTCTGGCCATACTTAAGCAATAGGTATGGGAGGGGGAGGAGAGAAGGCCTGGGCAGTTCAGGCTTTGGCTGTCTCCTGACCCCAGAGCTCAAGCTTAGAAGCCAGCACTGCCATTGTGAGCCCTCTGGAGGCACAGTGTGGTGAGGCCTGACTCCCAGGGAGAGAGAGAGGGGAGACCTGGAAGGGTTGGCTACTGGCAGACTGGTCATTGGGGGTGACAGTGAGGAGGTTGCCAGACATGGGACTTAAGCAGCATTTGTACACATGAACCTGTATTGTCTATGAAGAACATCAATAAAATGTGTGGTTTTAAATTGGATTTGATGCAGTCATATGGGCACTGTGGTTGGTAGCAGGGCTGGTGGGGCTGAATGCACTGACACAGTCAGACTAGCTGTTCAAATATTTAAAATAATTATTGAAAATACTTCTGTCCCAGCTGGTAAATAACCATGGCCCAGATTCCCTGAGTAACCCATCCCTGCTGTGCAGAGTCTGGATGACTGGATGACATTTCAGCAGGTAGTGAGGGTCAAGGAGGGCTTTATAGGGAGAGAGAATAGGCCTGGAATTGGGAACACAGGGGACATCACAGAGAAGCAGACAGAGTTAAGGACTTGAGCAGAAAAAAAAGAAAAGGGCTTTGAATGCCAAGCTAAGGGACCCGGAGTGAATTTGACAGGCAATAGGGAACCACTGAAGATTTTGAGCAAGGGAGCAACATGATCAGAGCTAGAGTTCAGAAAGTGGAGTCTTGGGGGATAGACCAGAAGTGGGAGAAACTGGAGGGAGAAGATCGTGATGCTGGGGTTCAGGGCCCCCCAAAGAATTGGCCTGTGTCCCTGGCCCATCAGTTGGTAGTCAACATTGTCATTCTCAATTAACTGTTCGGCAACCTTTTGTGGAGGAACAGACATCCTGGGGACGTCTGCCTGCCATACTTAGTAGCACAATTCTCTGACTCCCAAAGCTAGGAAAGAACCATCTACCTGTGGCATGATCATGGATCCTTTGGCCCTTGTATGGGAGTGAGATGCTTGGCAGAACCGTCAGATTAGGCAAAGTAGGAGCTACCTCACTCTAGGCTTCAGGACCTCAAGGAGCTTTGGGAAGAGGACAAACTTGAACAGATTTGAACCTATGTTCAGTCCTTAGGTCTCAGGTGCCAATCTCCCCTAGGAACCTGATTGTGCTTGTCCCTATCCATCCATTTGGTCCCCCAAATGCCCTGCCTCCTCTCTGCACCCTCTAACTGGCCTCATTGCTCATGAGATTCCCTTTCATCTCCCTCCTGCTCCCCCCTTGGGGCATGTTTTTAAGGATGCTTGGAAGGCAGCCCTTCCTGCCAGGGAGAAAGGAGGGATGGGCAGGGAGTAAGGACATATTGCTCCTACCTTATCTGAGATGCTTTAGATGTGAGGCAGAACCTGAGCCTGCCAGTGGGGGTGTGGTGTCTGGGGATAGCTCAGCTGCTCCTGATGTTGGCCTCTGCTTCTGCCCTCGTTCCTTTCTCTATGCATGGTATCAGCTCAGCTGCTCCATTCATTCCTCAAACATTCACTTATGCTGACTCTATGCTGGCATGATGCCAAGAACCAGGAAGGCAAAGATGAATAAGACCTAACACCTGACCACAGGGAGCTAGCTTGCTGGCAGTTGTGGTTTAGCAGCATGCGCATGCTGATGGGAGGACAGGGTGCTATGGGAGCCTACAGGAGAGCACTCCCTCAACTGTGGGTGGACTGTAAGACTTTCCAGAAGAGGCAACCTCTAGGTCATTCAGGATGAACAGGAGCTGGCCAGGCAGAAAAGCAGGGGTGTGGTGGGGAGAGGAGGTGAGGGAGACTGCAGAGGCAGAGATGCCTGGTGATTTCTGGGCATTGTAAGTCTGCACTTAGGAGTGATGAGGTGTGAGTACATACTCTGCAGCCACAATTGGAGAATTTGTCCTCAGGCCATACTCCCTGAGCACCCTACCTCCTTTCTCTGATCACTCACCCCAGCTCACAGCATACCATTTGGGTGAGTCAAGCACACGTTGATGTCTCATTTTTTTTTTTTTAAAGGATCCACAGGGCCCTCCAGGTTGGAGACCAAAGATAATGGGTTACATTGGTTTCCCAGGAAATCAGCTCTCAGCTGCTGAAGAGCTCAACTGGGAACATCAGAGATTCCCTAAACCTCTCTGTGGGTCCAAAGAGGGGCCTCTGGGAGATCTTGTCACACTTGTCTTCCTGCACAGCCTCAACAAATGAGGCTGGAGAAAACCATTCCTACCAAAATGGCTCCCAGGAGCTTCAGTAGAGTTGGAAAGGCTGGAACCCTGAAACACAGGGAGTGACCTTTCATTACGTACAATGCCTCATCCTGACTGGCAAGGTGGCTCCTTCATGGCCCTCTGTACCTGGTGGGGCAACTCAGCCCCTGTTACCTTGTAGCCCTAACATACCTTCTTCTTTGGCCTAGACTATTCCCAGGCCTTCCTGCACATTGCACTTATCCTTAGGGCCCTGTCTCAACTGGGCCAGCCCCCTGGGGAACCTTCCGTCCCCAACTCCCACAACCCTCAGTGCACTCTGTAGCTCTGACTCCCTCCCTCCTGTGGGCTTTGTCTCTGAGCTCTATTGCACATCCTTGGAGGGTAGGAATGGAAATGATGGAATCCTTTGTTTTCCCCCAGACCCTGGCATGGTATAGGGCTCTGACATTATTGTTGATACAGTTATTCTGCACTGGCAATAATGACCAACATACACTGAGTCTTCCCTACATGCCAGGCCCTTGATATACACACACTTCACCTACATTAACTCATTCATTCCTCATCGCAACCCTACAGGTACAATTTATTATAACCCTTATGCTCCAGGTAAAGAAACAAAAGCACAG